TCTATATTTGTATTTTAAGAATTGTAATTTTATTATTTAAAGAATCAAAATTCGAATAAAATAAAGATAACTTTTTAGTTTAACAACAATTAAATTATCTGTTCATTAACATTGTTTAAATAATTAAGTGATAATTATTTGAACGTTTACATCTGCTCTTGGAGCAATGGAGTTGGATTGACAAAGCAGCAGGTAGTTATTCAATGTTGTTCTTGCCATGTAGACATTATATTTCTCTTCAAGATTCTTACGCAAATTTTTGATTATCCGCACCTTAACCACTTCTTTTCGCCGTTTTTCATCAGCTGATCCAAACTCAACTGAATCATGAATATGATCATGTAAATCTGGATGTTGGAAAAGGAGTGGTGGACGACCAGGTTTATCATATAGTATTATTTCTTGACTTTCAAGAAGCAGTTTCTGTTTTTTTTTCTTTGCATTTATGAGTATATTCCGCATTTCTTTTTAATTAGATAATCTTTATTAGATTTTATTTGAGCTTGAAGGTCTGCTATTTTTACATGCATATCATGACGAAGTTGAGAATCAGTTGTGAAATTGTAAATTTGCTCAAATTCAGTAAGTTTTTTTTCAGCTATTGTTATTCCATTTGCTACCTTTTTTTGAGCTGCTGCATTAACAGGAATTTCCGGTGTAGGTTCTACCAAACGAATAGTAGTAGGAAGGGGGGTCAAGTCTTCTCTAGGTATAGGATATCTTGGTCTCATTGTTTGTATATCATATAAGTTAAATTGTGTGATTAGGTATCTTCTGATTATTTCATCAATTTCTGTTGTGCTTTTTTTTTTAATTCTATTCCATTCTTGTGTTGCTTCGCGACAAATATCAGCACGGTTAGGGGTACCATTTCCTGTCTTCACCATAATACTATATACATAAGCATTAGAAAATTCTTGATATTTATTTGTTGGTGAATCATAGATTGGTTTCTTGCTAAATTTAGGGCTAAATAAAAAGGTTTGATGGCTCATTTTTTATATTGACACGTTTTTACAAAAAAAAGCTTTTTTCGATCACGAAAGAAAAGACAAACATGATATAAAACCCTGCGACACGTTTAATTGCCCCCCACAGACCATTTCATAAATGGACATGACCGTACCGTTGAAACTTGTTAAGACGATGCTTTGTTAAAACAAATTTACGCGATAAACCGAATTATTTATTCGTTTTATCGAATTATTCGAATTATTTATTGTTTTATTCAATTTATTCGTTTTATTTATTCGTTTTATCGAATTGTTTGAATTATTTATTGTTTTATTCAAATTATTAGTTTTATTTATTTGTTTTATCAAATTATTCGAATTATTTATTGTTTTATTCAAATTATTCGTTTTATTTATTCGTTTTATTGAATTGTTCGAATCATTTATTGTTTTATTCGTTTTATTTATTCGTTTTATCGAGTTGTTCGAATTATTTATTGTTTTATTCAAATTATTCGTTTTATTTATTTGTTTTATCGAATTGTTTGAATTATTTATTGTTTTATTCAAATTATTCGTTTTATTTATTTGTTTTATCAAATTATTCGAATTTTTTATTTATTCGTTTTATTCTAATAAAATTAATTTATTCAACGGAAATATTTTTTTTTTTTTACTATTGATATCTTAAAAAGGCAAATGATTGTCATGCACGTGATCAAAATATCTTACCTGGGGGGGTAGGCGCTACTATTAAATCGATATTAGCTAATATATGTCAGCGCCCTTATACAGTGTGTTGTGAAAAAAATGGCACTGATGAAGAATAGCATATCCCAACAACTACAAAAGATAATTTAATGAAATTACATTCATTTAAAAGCCTATCGAATAGTTTGTTAAATAAAAAAAAAATTATTATGAATTACTATTACCATTTTTGTAAAGTTGATTCGCATCTTTTTTTTAGATGTCACTAAATTTTTTGACTTCCACCAAAAAGTATTAGACATCTCAAAGGTAACAATTGAACAAAAACGTACATAATAATTACAAAAAAAAATACAGCCATTTTGCAGCTCAAGTTCTAGAGATTATTTTTATAAAATCCCATGCTTCCAAATTTCTAGAATTTTATCAATTAAAAATAAAGTAAATTCAATTATTTTTGGAAAAAGAAATTTAATATAATAATTGCTCTAAAGCCTACATAATGGTGCATTCCAAAATTTCTATATGTGATAATTCAAGATTGTCTGATCATTTGATATAATTTTTATTACATGGGGCATACTGCAACAAAACCAGACAAAGTGAACATTGGTATTACCAAAGATTTCAGGGAACAATAGTGTTTGTTTAACATCACAATTGTATTATCAATGTAAAGTGATATTTGTCTTTTTGCTTAGGATCATCTTTAGATAAAAATAGTTAATATGAAGTTAATTTACATTAGGTCTACCATGGAACCCAAGAATTATATATTCTGAAGAAAGAACAAGGTGAAAAAATTGCTCCTTACATTTTTAAATTAGCAGATACCAAATCTTTGCAAACATATTTAGACTATAGATGCTGCCTAAATTAAAAATTCAGAATCCCAAATCCCAAATTAATTTGTGCATCCCAAATGTACAAATCCCAAATGTAGATCAAATCCCTGTACTTGCTCTTCTGACCAATAAGCATCCAGGATAATAAAGGGATCATAGATCACACTCACAAATTCTGGGTGCTTATTGGTTGAGCAGGAAAACTGATCTACATTTGGGATTTGGGAATCTTTCAGTAGGCTGTCCCAAATTTAATTTGTGCATTTGGGATGCCACAATCCCAAATAGTTTGGGATTTGGGCAGCATGTATAATTTAGACAAAGAAAGGATTACCTATGAAATTTATCAAGAGGAAAGAGTTTTCAAAAGAATATTAGAGAATTCTAGTAAAGAATCAAGAAAAAAAAAGAAAACCAGCAGAATAAAAAACTAAAACAAATAATTACTTTTTTTTCAACTTTGTTAATTTTTTATTTTCAATCAAGGTCATTTTTTAGTTTCTTTAACTTCAATTTGAGCAACTTGTTGAGAAGTTAACTGTTCTAGCTGAGCCTTTAATCTTTTGATTTCCTCTTTGTAATTAACATTCTCTTCCTTCTTCTAATTGCTTAATTCGTTCTAATAACTCTTGCTTTTGTCGTTTGCCTCACTCCTCGGATTTTTCTTGAAACTTAACCACTTCTTCCCTTTCAATTTCCAATGCTTCCTCAGTTTCAGTCAGTTGTTCTTGCAGAGAGTTTATTTGTTTTTCATAGAAAAGTGCCATTCCTACATTTTGATTAGGTAAAAGAGGAAGTTCTTTTTCATTACCCTTTTCTTTACAATCACAAATGTATCTAGTCTTTAACCTTCCACAACTACATTTAGGTAATTCATCATTTTCGAACTTGTCTTTACAACTTTCACAAGCCTTATCACTTTCAACAAATTCGCCAGTTGCTTTGCTTCGGGTTCTGATTTGACAAACTGCTTTTTTTAAATTAGGACAAAAAACACAAGTAGAATTACTGCTATGTCATTCTTCTAACTCTAAAATAGTGTAAAGCAATTCTCTCATAATAAATAAGGTAAATTAGTTAACTTTTACTTCTATTCGAGCAATAAATTCTCGGGCTTGATGTTTTTTATTTTCTACCAATTGTTGAAGTTATTGGAGTTTGGTTTTAATTCTTGAGCCTAATTTTTGTAAAGTACACTCACTGGTCATAAATATAAGGACACTTGCAGATCATCAGAAATGATTGAACAAAGAAACATGAAAAAAAATTTTTTTTATTAACCTAACCGCATTTGCTTATTAAGTAAAAATTCATTGCCATATCAAATAGTATAGCATACTGAAGTTTCGCTGCATATAAACAACAACTCGTTGTTTTACGAACTTTAAAAAA